CAGCAAATACGCACTAGATGGCGATACACTGCATGTACTTGGATATTATGTAAACTCGCTCTCTAGGAGCCTCGTCGGTTTGGTCAACAATTTACCGAGCGGCATGGCCTAGAGGTTTAGACCATTGCTTGGCATTCGGGAGGACGCCGGTTCGATTCCGGGTCCGTCTGCCTTGGTCCAAGTTTATCTGTGGTTTCCTTGGATCACTTAGGCAAATGCCACAGATAATCTTTCATTCTCTTCTGTCTTCATTTCGTCCATCTCCTCTTTCTCACCCGAACCACCACCCGCCCATTCTCACGATTCCTGAAAGCAGGCTGAAGAGGGTCTTGCGCCCTACCTTTCGGCGTAGTCCGGAGGGACTGCCCGCCAACCAGCATTAGTGGCTGGTGGGAATGAAACACCCAAAAGTTTTTTTTTCAACAATTTATCGGCTGAAGAGGACCCTAGTTGGTCCTAGAACGGCCTGAGGTAGAGGGGTTTTAATCGGTAGATCCGAGGAATTCTTCCTCGGGAATCCGACACTACCCAGTCGTACGGCCGGCTGGGTGTCTTTTGAAGATTTCCCCTCTTCCACGAATACATAAAAAAAATCAACAATTTATCTTTCGCTTTTTAGCGCGAGTGTCCATCCAGCACTTCAGAGGTGGACCACCTACTTCGGTTTCCTCCCCATCACTCCTTTCTAACCACACTCTTAACCCATTTCTCATCTCAACCCTATCCCCAATCCTCAGCCTTCCACAGGGTTTATCTCCCCGCTCAAGAAGGGGTTTTAGTCGATAAGAATCCGACACTACCTCCCTTCCGGGGTGTCTTTTTGAAGATTTCCCCTCCTCGAGTACAATCTAAACAAAAAAAAAAGTCAACAATTTATCGAGATTGTCTGTGGTGCGCTGTATTCCTTCAAGAAGCATGCAAGTACGGTCGACTGGTGACATCCTCCTTATTCGATTAGGAGCGAACAGCGGTAGGAGTGCAAGCCGCTGACGTTACCGTTGTCATGGCAAGCCTTTGAGGCAGCAGAGAAAAATATAAAATAATTATAACAGAAATTACATTTATTTTGCGAGAAAAATAAGTCTCGATACTGTTAAAAAAAATAGGTCAAATGCCTCTTCACCTGTTTCACCCGAATAGCCCCCACTAGTAAACCAACAAAAAACCATATAAAATAAACAGAGGCAGTATTCATTTGAATGCAGAAGCTATTATTAAAAGTTTAAGTGACATTTTAAATTGATAGAAAAGTTAAATTATATTGTAGATTTGAGTTGCGTAAATTCTTAACTGGAATTAAATGAATTTGTCCTTTCAAGGCATAAATCATTTAACGTTTATAAAGCATAAGCGAATTTATATTTCTTTTCAATTAAGTACGCCTCAATTCGAGTTCGATCTGTTATTTACAGTTATTCAAAACGTTGCTAATTTTTCGTTAATTGTAAAAGGATAAATAAAATAATGTACTTATTTTTTTTTGTTAGCGTACCTACAGTAAATATAATTGTAGCGACTAACCAAAAATATCTAATATCGGGTTTTCTACTTATTAGTAAAATAACCGATCGGCAGGCAACCATCCGTGTGCGAAACCTAATAAATGCCCTTGTACAAGACGCATTTTCGTCATAAGCCGGTTCTACGGTGGGTAATAAGACTACTTTCACACAGTGCGATAACGACACGATTTACTACACGCGATTTGTCGTATCGTATCGGAACGCCGCGCCGCTTTTACGTCATGCAACTGAATTCCAAGTTGAAATGCGAGCCTAATCGAATGTTTGTCTTTTTTTTGTGAAAGACATGTTAATGGCTGCAAGTCGCGGTTAGCATTACTAGCATATCATACACGTGCGGCAGGAAAGAGTATCGGCTACCATGGACAACGACCCCTAACGATGCTTTCGCACATACGGTTTTCTAACGATAACCGTGCATTTGCTTTGCGTTCACACAGCACACGGTTTTTCACTTCGGGTTTAGTTTTCTCTTGATATGTGACCAAAATGGACTAAAGAATAAAACGCATGTTGTTAATAATGATATGGCATATTATTTTTAACATTATTTTTCCTATATCGTTTTGTTGCTTTCGTAGTATTACATCAAAGTCATCCTTCAGAATCCCACAAATTTCCTTCCAACCCTGTAATATCTTGTTTCTATTTTTAAATTCATCAGTGGTTTTATCCCATAACACTGGTCGCTGTTCAACAAATGTAATTAGCAACGCATTATCTATTTCAATAACCATTATTTCGATATACTATACAATACTAACTGAACAATTCAGAGAGAATTCTGAATACAATTTTTGCAGTGTGAACACACGGCATGTGGGCATACTTCTATACACTTGCTTGTCTCACTGTTACCGTACACGGCTACGGCTCCGTGCTGTTACAGTCCCCATGCCGTGTTGCGACGGCAGCCGTGTACGGCTCCGGCAGCAAACCGTGCTGTGTGAACGCTTGCATATAAACCAATGTATTACTATTATACACGGCACGGTTGCCGTGCACGGCAACGGCAAAAACCCGTATGGGTGAAAGAAGCGTAAGTTGGCGCGACACACGACATGTATGAAAGAGTACATTTGGTTGCATTGAACGACATTTGTTACTACGACGATTTTAATATCGGTTCGCATCAGTGTGAAAGCGTTCACTTTAAACACATTTATTTTGGATATACTTTTGTGTCGTTGCGATTTACTGCATGCAGTAATCGTGTCGTTACCGCACTGTGTGAAAGTGGCCTAATGTCTGCGTGTAAACGGCTCCGTCAACTCTAAAAAGCCATTGTGGTGGCGTGTGCAGTAAACTTTTCCCACATGAACCATACGACAAAAAAAAGGCACTTGAATGGTAGTTTGTAGACGACACTGGAGATTCGCCGGAAATAAACAGTTGCGAAGCTGCCGAGTACCAATTTCTTGACAAAAAAGCTAAGAATTTTGTTTTGATAAGATGTTTACAAAATTCTATCAAAATTAAGCGGATTCTAATTAACCGTAACAACGGATATTTTTCATTGCCGAAATAGCAGAAGCTCAAAACCAAACCCTACAGAAGGACGGTCGGTCTTAAAAATTAAAGTTTTTTATTATTCTTGTCCCATATTACTGGATTTTCTTCTGTTACACAAATAATCACTGGTAGATAGACAGCCTTTGTCAGCCTTTAAAAGCATGCATTTTCTTATGTAGGATTCATTTTTACACTTTTAGAATAATGTTTTCTCCTCCATTCCTACCCAAGTAGGAAATGCCAGACTTGACGACAAATCCAAACCTGGGTCAGTTGAGGGAAGTCAAACAGTCAAGTATGGGTTTGTTAATACCAAATCAAATTCACCAAGTTATATCCAATACTGGGTCACGAAGTATTAACCAAGATAGAAAGCGATGCAGTTGCCCAATTTTGGATTATTTTTGTTCATTATGTTTCAAGCTGTCCAATCTTGGGTTAATATCGTTCACCAAGTCTTGACACAATATGGGCTGCTCAATTTTGGGTTAATACTGCTCGCTAATTCTTGGTCCTGTATTGCTTGCCAAATTTTTTGCTAATATTGCCAAGTCTTGCTTCAGCACTGGCAGAGCAGTCGTGGACCAAGCATGCCAAACAGGCTTGTACCAAAGTGAGAAGCTAAGCATTTGCCAATATTGGTTGCCAATCTCGGACCAGAATTGAACAATTTTGGGCTAAGCTTGGACTAAGTGCGGTCCTGGCATGGTTTCCTACATGAATACTCTGCCTAATTTTTAGTACCTACATACCAAATTTGTTGCTCAATTTAATAAATGATATTACGCTGGACGAAAGGTTATACGCTTCTAATTACTATAAACTGTATCTATGTAGGTAATTTTAACTAATATGGAACTGCGATCTGCGATCCTGTATGACGGCAATGATGTGTTTGCAGTCGAAATTTTATTGACCGGTCTGAGTTTTTAATATCATTCATCACAAAAATATTAGAGGTACTTTAAAATCTCATGGGCCGCAAAATGCGCAGTGGGCGTATATTTCAAAGACATTGACGCGACTGTTTACCATATACACCATGCACGGTCAAGAACGGAGCTCAATGTAAACTGTAAAGTTTACAGTTTATATTTACAGTGTAAACAATTTTTGTCACTACGCAATTCAAAGTCATGTTCCAAACGATTTTGAATTACTTCTAATTAATCGTAAGAGTCACGTGTACTATTTTGTAATTATTTGTCTATTTCAATGGTATTAGGTGGAGTACACGGGATGGCAAACATTCGATTTATCCAGGACGTCAAAAGTTATCGCCCCAACCCTGGGTACTGTAATGTCCCGTCTTGATTTAGACGGACTACGGGCCTAATTAAATTTGCGTAGTTAGTTAGATGAAATAATAAGAACACAAACTTGGATTATCGGTTTATTGGCTATGTTTGGTTCTTAATCTGAATTAACTGGTATAAAGATGAATCTATTTTTACTGGTTTAAAGGATGAATTAATATTTACTGGTTTTACTGAATAATCAATCTTGTCTGGTATAACTAAAGAATCAATATTTTACTGGTATAACTGAATTATCAATAATAATGTCTATATAGTACAGTCTAAGTATTTAAAGCTAATCTATATACAAGGGGTAAGTGGGGTGGTGACTACTATTGGTTGAAACTAGGAATTGGAAAGTGGTAGGCGTTGTGAAATTCTAAGTAAAGGAAAAAGGTCGGTTCTGGAGCTACATACAAATACAATCCTAAACTAATCAGATTCGTTACAGTGTGCCCCGAATATCGAGGGACAACTGTCATAAAGCTATACGTCATAAATTTAAAAAAACTGCCTGTCTATCAAACGCTCAAAGGCTCAGCAGGAACAGTCTAAATTTTCTAAATAGTAAAAGTTTTATACACTATACATGTAATTGATGAACCGGAACAGGTACCATAGTAAAATAAAAAATGCCATTTAAACAATATTATGTTGTTACACTTACCGATGTTTCGTACAGTTTCTTCAGTTCTTCGTAAAGCCACATTTCAACGGCTAGTCGTTTCCTTATTAGGCTCATTTGATGGTTTCCGTATTTGGCAGTAAGAAATTTTTCTCTCCTTTCTTTTACTTCCCCTTTATCACTAAAGTTTACGTGTAGGCCGGCCTTTGACGGAGATCGCTGTGAGCGCACTTCATGTGCCAAAATACCTGACGATGGTGTTGAACCATTTGTGTAACTAGTACTCAATCCACATTCCATTTTTAATTTCTGAAATAAAACAAGCTTGTAAATTACTTTGTTCGCAAACCCTATTTATAAACAATATAACAACAACAATTTATAAACATCCTATACTACCATCATGTAATAAANCAATACTATCAAATTTTATAATTGACCATACTTTCAAATGGTAATAGTTTGGAACTCCCGCTTTTGTTCTTACGCCTCCTGCTTTTTGGAGCTGCCACCTACAGTTTTTTATAAAATCTGTCTGGCAACACTGGGGACAATGGCGACGAGAAAATGACATTACTAGTTATTGAGTAGACCAGTCATTATTTTCATGGAAAATGTAATGTTTTTGTTTGGAAAAACTCCTCCGACTATATATGAGTTTCAAAAGGTCAATCTTTCTTTTTATTTGATACCTAAAATTTCTATGTACTGAATTTATTGACAAAAATAGAAATTCTAAAGCTCATAAAATGCCTATAAGGGATGTACGGTTTTTATTAATTCTGAAACCACACCAACGCTTCTCCTTACAGACGAAACTCCCTCAGAAAAGGCTTCTTTGTCATAAATCCTATCAAACAATGCGGTTTATAACATAGGCAAGACATATACGAGAACATATAAACAATATGTTTTTTAAATAAATATTATAAATAGTCTAAATCAAAATCAGTATTCTAAGACAGCACCTGAATAAATAAAACCAATAAATATCATAATTAATTATAAGACGACACGAAAACGAATGTACACTATGTCTGATGAACACTCTGAAAAAATTAAGGAAGTACAAGGTACATGGTAATACACATAAGCATAAGAGTAATAACCTTACCGAAAGCCCCAACTGCTTCGGCAATTTTAGAAAATACTACAAATGGCGCAGTAAACGCCATCTGTAGCACGATGCTACATTTTAAGATTACGTATGCTCCAACAAGGTCCACTTGTGTGGATATCTACTTGCTGAAAACGNCTGCGACGCGCTGATGAGATCCAAAAAGATCGAAATCGCGATCCGCGTCTGGCAGTTTTGACAGAATACAGACCACTTCGAATTATTTTATTTGAAAGGTTGTATGTTTGTAATTACTATAAACTGTATCTATGTAGATAATTTTAACTAATATGGAACTGCGATCTACAAAGCTAAATGACGGCAATGATGTGTTAGCAGTCGAAATTTTATTGACCGGTCTGAGTTTTTAATATCATTCATCTCAAAAATGATAGAGGTACTTCAAAATCTCATGGGCCGTAAAATGCGCAGTGGGCATATATTTGAAAGACATTGACGCGACTGTTCACCATATATATCATGCACAGCAATATTTTGTAATTTGTTGTCTATTTTCAATGGTATTTGGTGGAGTACACGGGATGAAAAACATTCGATTTATCCAGGACGTCAAAAGTTATAGCGCCAACGCTGGGTACTACAGTAAAATAAAAAATGTCATTTAAACAATATTATGCTGTTACACTTACCGATGTTTCGTACAGTTTCTTCAGTTCTTCGTAAAGCCACATTTCAACGGCTAGTCGTTTCCTTATTAGGCTCATTTGATGGTTTCCGTATTTGGCAGTAAGAAATTTTTCTCTCCTTTCTTTTACTTCCCCTTTATCACTAAAGTTTACGTGTAGGCCGGCCTTTGACGGAGATCGCTGTGAGCGCACTTCATGTGCCAAAATACCTGACGATGGTGTTGAACCATTTGTGTAACTAGTACTCAATCCACATTCCATTTTTAATTTCTGAAATAAAACAAGCTTGTAAATTACTTTGTTCGCAAACCCTATTTATAAACAATATAACAACAACAATTTATAAACATCCTATACTACCATCATGTAATAAAATTATTGGTGCGATAAGGAATTACGACAGGGACAGTGGCGACGAAAAGATGACATTACTAGTTATTGAGTATACCAATCATTATTTTCATGGAAAATGTAATGTTTTTGTTTGGCAAAACTCCTCCGACTATATTGGGTGTCTCGTGAGGAGCCGAGTGCATCACTAGCGTCTCACTCTCGCGTCCCCTACCACCTTCCCACTCACTTTTTATTCTTCTGTAGCGCGCTTCTGATTGGTTACTTTCATTAATTAATTACTAATTATCTACTTTACAAAAAAATTTCAAGCATGGATTTTTGGGCTCAGAATTTTTTTCTCTTTCGATCCCAACAATTGGGTGCGCGACTTCTGAGACACCCAGTATAATAAAATTGATCCAGCAGTATCTCAAGATATGAGTAAGATACGTAACAAAATACAATTAAAATATTGGAGCAGCAAAGAACATCAGACGAAGATAACAGGCTATACGTAATGTATGAATAATAATGTTCGTG